TCATACAGCTAGTAAGTGGCAGAGTCTGTTAGTTTGGGCCAAAGCCTGTGACCATTCACAACATCTACCTTCCCTTCTCACCATAAGACACGTGGCCATCCCAAGCATGTGGGAGAGGCTTTGCCAAGGGTCTATCCCAATCCCTGTGGGAGGGTCTTTGCCATCAGGCACCTATAGGGCCTGAGGCATGAACAAGACCCTGAGGCAGGTCCAAAGATAAGGAAGCAGATAGACTGGCAGGCCCTGAACAAAAGGACAAACAGAGTTAACCATGTATGAAAGAGGATTCCCAGCTGCAACCAGCACTGTAACCAGCTAATCAAAACCAGGCCAAATTACGTCCCAGGCAATTTTCTGGGCAGCCCTCAGAGAGTCACCCAGCCTGAGAAGTCAGCCAATTATGCCTGATCATTCTCTGCAGCCCTGTCCTTATAAAAGACAAGTCCAGACTGGCCCAATGTAGACAAATGAGCAGTTCTATCATCTCTGAAAGGCAATCTAATTCCCTTCAAATTTAAAAGTCTCTACAGTTTCCTAACAGGCCTCGGTGTGGCACAGGTAGAAATTAATAAGTTCATGGTGTGCCCAGCTTGCTTTCATTATCATTTTTTTCCATGCAGCGGGCAGAATTTTCATTATTACTCAAGGATTTTTTTTCTGTATCTGATTCTAAGAAGGTCAAATCTACAGAGCTCAGACACTGGGTTGAGAATTGAGTCAAGTCTAGTGGACTTGACTGAAGTCTGAGGGAGGTTTCATTCACTGAGCATCAGCACTTTACTAATCAGGTGGGACAGAGATCAAAAGAAAATATCGTAGGGAAAGAGAACTCAGAGTAAGTGCTGAGAAGCCCTGGCTCTAGATTCAGCCCCAGGCTAGCCTGTTCTGGGATGTTGGGCAAGTTGCTTAGCCTCTCTGAGTTAGTTATCTCCCCTGCCAAACTGGCAGGGAGGAGGGTATGGAATAGGAAACTCAAATTTATTAAACTTCTGTATCTTGAATCATTGCAAGATGTGTCATAGACACTCTTTAAATTTCACCAAAACAACAAACAGCTCCAGAAAGCTTGTATTATTTTACAGATGATGAAAGTAGGGCTACTACTAAATACCACCATCAGAATGCACCTTATGAGGGCCAGGGACTGAGGGACTTGGGTGGTGTGAATGAAATTGCAAACTCATATAACTTTTCTGGAAAGCAATTTAACATGTTTCACAACCTTTAAAATGCTTGGCCAATTAACTAAAATTCTGGAAATCCATCCAAACAACAGAATCTGAAATGTGGACACATGTTATAATAAAAGAGAATTGGAAATAGGCAAAGTGCCAATCAGAGAATGGTGAACTCCAGAACATTCATTAAGTAGGAAATCATGTAATCATTTAAAAAGTTGCAGAAAAATATGTAATAAATGGCAAATTTTCATTACTGTGAAAAAATAAGTTATAGTATTCAAAATGAGGTATAATAACAATTTTTTTTTTTTTTTGAGATAGGGTCTTGCTCTGGGGTGCAGTGGCACAACCTTGGCTCACTGCAGCCTCAGCTTCCTAGGCTCAATTGATCCTCCTACCTGAGCCTCCTGAGTAGCTGGAACTACAGGTACGTGCCAACACACCCAGCTAATTATTAGTAATTATTATTATTTTGTAGAGACAAGATCTTACCATGTTTCCCAGGCTGGTATCAAACTCCTGAGCTCAAGCAATCCTCCCCTCCCCAGCCTCCCAAAGTGCTGGGACTATAAGCATGAGCACCCAGAGTGATCGCAATTTTTGAATGAAAAAAAAAAAAGCAGAAAAATGACAAGAAGGAAATAGACTAAAATGTTATACCTCATGCTTTTACTGTGTGTTTCACTGTATTTTCCATAGTTTCTACAATAAATACTTATATATCTCACTTGTTATTGTCATAATCAGGAGATATACCATAAAAGCTATGTTAAATCTTTGAATTTTGCAATTACTTACAAAATGCAATCATAATATTTAAATGAAAATCATGTGAGATCATGTATGATTCTAAATGATATATTGGCAGAATCTATATGTAAAACATTTTGCTTAAAAAAAAATTAAAGGGGAAACACATAAGAGAAATAACAGCACAAATGGTATGGATGGAACTGTCTTCCCCAAAGCTTAGAGCCTATCTCCTGGGCTAAATGAGAAATAAAGACCACTGGGAAAGGGGTGGGAAAACTGACACACAATACAAAAGCAGCTGATAAGGGAGGACTAAAAGCTTCAGTTGACTTCGAGGAGTGATGGAGTTGGCAGATATGAATTTTTCAATTTTATGAGAATGATAGGGATCTGAAATAAATCTTCGGTATTTTCTTTTTAAGATAAATGTTTTAAAATAAATGCCTGCAGCATGGATGGATGGCTAGTGCCTGTGTCCTGTCTTAGAGCTGATCATAAATAACACTGAGAAAAATAGCTCCGGCCATTCTAAAAACCACCTTTATTTTTTACTTCTAAGAGCTTGGAGAATTATATTTTGATGCATTAAGCTAGACTCTTTTAAGGCAGCTGCAAATAATAGAAGTATAGAAGTTGTCTTCAAATGGAAATAACTACTCAGGGCTTGGCTTAGAAGGAAACTATAGTTTCAAGAAGTGCCTGAACAGTTGTGGGTGCATCTAATGGTCAGAATACAAATTCAAGTTTAAAGGCATTTGGTGGGTTTCTGACTTAAGGAAATCCTTTTGTGAGTCTTCAGATGAAACCTTTAATTCTTCTTCAGCCCTATAACCAACAAACTTTAATAACCTTTTGTAAATCCAAACTTTCAAATATCAGATTTGCTTGAGGTATTTTTTTTTTCTATTGTGGTCTGTACATGAGAGAGCTTATAACTTTACTGTAGAACAGCTTATTCAACGACTTCGGTTTCCCTTTCACCATGAGATGAGAATAGGACATTAAAAGCAGACATACAATCAGACACATTGCTCATCTTTTATAGTGCCAGCCTCAGCACACTGCAATGACTTCATGTCATCTGATTACTTCCTGTTTGTCATTTATTTTCTCTGTCATATTTGAAAGAGGGGTCACAGGTTCAGACGGAAAGGTGAACGAGAGGATCTTCTTAGTGGAAGGGCCTCTGCATATAGGCTGTGAGGAAAGGGGCTGAGGGCAGCGAGGGGCTCATGCTCAGTGGAGAAACAAAAGCCACTACTCAGCTCTGTATTTCAGACTTATCAAGATAAACCATAACCCTGCATTTTTATGCTAAATCTCCCAATTTCTAAATGTTGTTTCTCTTTATTTTTTGCTCTGTCACACAGGATAGAGTGCATTTTGTACATAGTTCACAGCAGCCATCTAAAATTCCTTGAGTCAAGTGATTCTCCTGCCTCAGCTTCCTGAGAAACTAGGACCAGGCAAGCACCACCATGCCCAGATAATTATCATTATTATTATTTTGTAGAGATGGGTTCTGATTATGTTGCCCAGGTTAATCTTGAACTTCTGGCCTCAAATGATTCTCCTGCCTCTGCCTCCCAAAGTGCTGGGGTTACAGGCATGAGCCACTACATCTGGCATCCATTTTTTTAAGTGCATAATAAACCAAACATTTCCATGACCCAAACATTTTTACTAATATTTGTTTTAAAATCTCATTTCCAGGGGTTGCTAATAATTGCTGACTAAGCCCAATAGCATTATTAGCTACGTCCAAGAAAGAGATGTGTTGGAGTCTTCCTAGACTGGCAAAGAAGGTTTAGGGAAGATACTTCATCTTTTGTGGTAAAGACTGCAAGGAGTTTATATTTCCAGCTGGCATTAGGTAAAACTGGGACTTCTGAGGGTGATTGGGAAATGTATGAAAATGCCTCAATTCTAAACATCATGGAAGTCACAGGTACCCTCGGTGGTTTTCATTCTACATAAAATAAAGCTTTCTTCCGAGAGTAGAGTATCTCCCTCACTCTTTGCAAGAATGCTTATGGGTTTATCTTCACATAATACTGAATTTCCCAATTTAATATAACTACCTTCTCACTCCATACTTTATAATATTCCATAATGAAAGATGTCTTCACAGAGCTTATCTCTTAGAAGTGCAAAAGAACCCCGTTTTCTCTGCCCAAGTAGCTCATAATGTAGCAGGCAAACTGTCAGAAAAAAACAGACTTCATCGTGGTGAAACCTCAGCCCGGCACCCGTCTATCAGAAAGCAATCTTCTAGAAATCTTGAAAACCTTCATTAAATTTCCTGTCCTTCTCCTGACAGTTATAAAATGTTAACAATATTACTCATGATGCAGGCATCTTCAGAAATCCTTTGTCTAATCCCTCCTCCCACTGCCATGACCAGTCCCTTCTCTTTGCCAAAATCCATGGAAGCATGAGGCATAGCCGAGTTCCTCACTCAGCCCTCCTGGGGCCTACCATTTGGAGAGGGTCCAAGGAGGAAGCAGACGTAGCCTTGATGATAGTGAGAGGCTCTGTAGCCACAAGAGGGAAATATGGCACTGCCTTGGGATTCCTCCTCCAAAGACACATCCACTTAGAAGCTCAAGAACAAGACCCTGTGCCACTCTCAGCAGATATTTCCTGGTCTTTCTCTGTCTCTCCTTTCTCTTGCCCATTTACCAAGCAATAAGTCTCCATTTATCGATTATATGTGGATAGTGGGGACAATGGGTTATCTTTTTATGGGTAAAATTCCCTTAAGAACCTTACTAGCCCAACTTCTCCAACTCTGCAGGCCGCTTCAGCAATTTACCACTCGTTAGAAGAAGAAACAAGGGTCTTGCACTGGAGGCAACATGAAGGAAAAAACAAACAAAAACACAAGGAGAGCCAGAATCCATCCCAGAAATAAGAAGAGGCATACAGCTTTTTAACATCACAGGCTGATCTAGAGATGCACAGGGTGGTGACAATAGCTATAAAGCCATATTCTGGGCTTTGTGGAGGTTTCACAGCACATCTTCAAAGTGAGCCAGGCCCAGCCATACTAAGCCATAATCTCACCTGCAAAAGGAACCGGTGCATCTTTATCCAGGGCTACCAGTGGTGGATCCAAAATGACTGTGTCATTGTTCTCGGTTATGACTCCATGATATGAAGTCTCGATCCATGGCTTGTGCTTATTGACTAGAAAATAGGGGAAAGAAAAAACAAAAAGGATCATTATTTAAATAACAAACCCATAATAATGTATTATTAAGATTGTATATTTGCCCAATCATAGGCTGTCATCCAACAATCCTGTGAGAGACATGGAGCATGTTAATCCCATTTTAAACCCAGAAAAGCTTCAGAGAAGTACAGGGAGAGGTTCAACACCTCACCCAAGGCACTCAGAAGGTGAGAGACAGCATTGACTATCAAACACTGTTTGTTTTGCCTCTAAGACCATGGGTTCTTCACCTCATCAAAATCCCATTATTTGTATTTCTGGATACCCAGTATAGATAGATATTATTGAGAACTGATTGAAAGCTTTAATTCTGTAATGCTACCATCTATTAATAGATGTTTCAGAGTTAAAGTCCTTTATCAATCAATAAACTAGCAGTTACTACTATGTATGCTCAGGTTTCTGACCTCAACCAAATCTGATCCATCATTAGAAGTTACTGCATTTTATATACATGTATACACACACATATGTATAAATATCATTATATATGCAAAGATACATCAGATATTTGAATATTTTCTGATCATTTAAAAATTGTGTATCTCAGTGGTCTAAATTATCTAGCAACTTAAGTTGTTCTTCAATAATTTCACTAGCTGAATTAAATATTAACCAATGAACAATTAATACACTGAAAATACATATCAACTATATTTTACGGGTTGAATTGTGTCCTCTACATTAAAAAAATACATTGATATCCTAACACTTAGAACCTCAGAATGTGAATGTATTGGGAGATAAAATCTTTACAGAGGTAATCAAGTTTTAAAATGTCATTAGGTTGGTTCCGCGTCCAATATGATTAGTGTACTTATATAAAGGGAAAATTGTGGCACAGATATATGCACACTGAGAAAATCTCATGTGAAAATAGAGTTGTGCAGCCCCAAGCCAAGGAACTATAGGAAGCTAGGAGAGAATCCTGGAATGGAGCCTTTCCTAGAGCCTTCAGAGGGAACCTGGACCTGCTAACACCTTGATTTCATATTTCTGGCGTCCGTAAATGTGAGACAATAAGTTTTTGTTCCCAGATACCCAGTGATACGGTTTGGCTCTGTGTCCCCATCCAAATCCCATCTTGAATTGTACTCCCATAATTCCCACATGCTGTGGGAGGGACCCAGTAGGAGACAATTGAATCATGGGGGTGGGTTCCCCCATACTGTTCTCCTGGTTGTGAGTAAATCTCACAAGATCTGATGGTTTTCTCAGGGGTCTCTGCTTTTGCGGCTTCTTCATTCTTTCTTTGCCTGCTACCATCCATGTAAGATGGGATGGTAAGAGGTCCAACTAAACCTCTTCCTTTTGTGAATTGCCCAGCCTGGGGTATGTCTTTATCAGCAGCATGAAAACAGACTAATACAGTAAACTAGTACCAGTAGAGTGGGGCGTTGCTGAAAAGATACCCAAAAATGTGGAAGTGACTTTGGAACTGGGTAACAGGCAGAGGATGGAACAGTTTGGAGGGCTCAGAAGACAGGAAAATGTGGGAAAGTTTGAAACTTCCTAGAGACTTGTTGAATGGCTTTGCCCAAAATGCTGATAGCAACATGGGCAATGAGGTTCAGGCTGAGGTGGCCTTAGATGGAGATAAATAACTTGTTGGGAACTGGAACAAAGGTGACTTTTGTTATATTTTAGCAGAGACTGGCAGCATTTTGACTCTGCCCTAGATACTTGTGGGATTGTGAACTTGAGAGATGATTTAGGGTATCTGGTGGAAGAAATTTCTAAGCAGCAAAGCATTCGAGAGGTGACTTGGGTGCTGTTAAAAGCACTCAGTTTTAAAAGGGAAACAGAACAGGTAAGTTTGAAACATTTGCAGCATGACAATGTGATAGAAAAGAAAATCCCATTTTCTGAGGAGAAATTCCAGTCAATTGTAGAAATTTTCGTAAGTAAGGAGGAGCCCAATGTTAATCCCCAAGACAATGGGGAAAATGGCTCCCGGGCATGTTCAGAGGTCTTCATGGCAGCCCCTCCCATCACAGGCCCTGGGGCCTAAAAGAAAAAAATGTGGTTTCGTGGGCTGGGCCTCTGAGCTATGTGTAGCCTAGGGACTTGGTGCCCTGCATCCCAGCTGCTCCAGCCATGGCTAAAAGGGGCCAACATAGAGCTCAGGCCATGGCTTCAGATGGTGCAAGCCCCAAGCCTTGGTGGCTTCCACGTGGTATTGATCCTGCACTTGCACAGAAGTAAAGAATTGAGGTTTGGGAACCTCCACCTGAATTTTAGAACATGTACGGAAATGCCTGGATGCCCAGGCAGAAGTTTGCTGCAGGGGAGGGGCTCTCATGGAGAATCTCTGCTAGGGCACTGCGGAAGGGAAATGTGGGGTCAGAGCCCCCACACAGAGTCCCTATTGGGGCACTGCCTAGTGGAGTCGTGAGAAGAGAGCCACTGTCCTCCAGACCCCAGAATGCTAGATCCACTGACGCTTGCACCTGTGCCTGGAAAAGCTGCAGGTACTCAACACTAGCCCATGAAAGCAGCTGGGAGGGAGGCTATACCCTGCAAAGCAACAGGGGTGGAGCTTCCTGAGACCATGGGAACCTACCTCTTGCATTAGGGTGACCTGGATGTGAGACATGGAGTCAAAAGAGATCATTTTGAAGCTTTAAAATTTGACAGCCACACTGGATTTTGGACTTGAATGGCCCTGTAGCCCTTTTGTTTTGGCCAATGTCTCCCATTTAGAACGGCTGTATTTACCCAATGTCTGTATCCCCATTGTATCTAGGAAGTAACTAGCTTGCTTTTGATTTTACAAGCTCATAGGCAGAGGGGACTTGCCTTGTCTCAGATGACACTTTAGACTGTGAACTTTTGATTAACACTAAAATGAGTTAAGACTTTGGGGAACTACTGGGAAGACATGATTGTTTTTGAAATGTGAGGACATGAGATTTGGCAGGGGCTAGGGGCAGAATGATATGGTTTGGCTCTGTGTCCCCAGCCAAATCTCATCTTGAATTTTACTCCCACAATTCCCACGTGTTGTGGGAGGGACCCAGTGGGAGATAATTGAATCATGGGGGCAGTTTCCCCCATACTGTTCTCAAGGTAGTGAATAAGTCTCACAAGATCTGAGAGTTTTATCAGGGGTTTCTGCTTTTGCATCTTCCTCATTCTCTTGCCTGCTGCCATCCATGTAAGATGGGACTTGATCTTCCTCACCTGCCATTATTGTGAGGCTTCCCCAGCCAGGTGGAACTATAAGTTCAATTAAACCTCTTTCTTTTGTAAATTGCCCAGTCTTGAGTATGTCTTTATCAGTAGCAAGAAAATGGACTAATAGACACAGTTTGTAGTACTTTGTTACAGCAGCCCTAGCAAATGAATATAATATACTTCTATCAGCAGGTACTAATGAAGGGTAGAGAACTGAAATAAGACTGTGCCAGGATTTGGTGTAATACTCCAATGTGAGAACCTCATCTGGTGAAAACTCAGTTCTTGCCAATTCTTCCCCTTGTATGTCTTTGTTTGATGGGTTCTAGCCCAACCCACTCCTATCTGAATGGCTTCAGGGGCCTCCTGACTGGTCTCCCCATTGGAAATCTTGCCCTACTCTAGTCTACTCTGCACACTGGTATCAAGAGTGATCTTTCTAAAACATTAATCTGATTACTCAACTGTAAGTTGCTTGGTTTCTCTTTTTGAGTCCCCTCTGCCCACCCCCAATACCCTCACAGAAGTCAGGATACAGAGTAGGTACATTAGAATCAAAATAACAGGTTAGACAGGGGGTTCTAGAATAATCAAAATTGTTTCGATGCCAAACTTCACACCCTACGTCATAGTTTAAAAGGTGTGGTCACATATGCAATGCTTATCACAGCATCCTGTGAGGTAGGCATGATCATTATAAAGATGAATAAACTACCTCCACAAGGTGTAACTTTCCCAAGGCGATTATATGGTTAAAAATTAATAAGTAGGAAAATCAGAAACTCATACTTTGTGATATCTGAGAAGTGCACACACACATATTATAATATATATGTAATGTACATTATACAGTATATATTTTATATATTACATTACATATTTTTCAGTAGCCACAGCGAAGTGAGAGCTTATAGAATTGCGAGCAGCTCTGAGGCAGTGGCTCCTGTCCCCTTCCCACCTCATCGTCCTTCAAAAGGTCAGTTCAGAACAGTTCCAGGAGCAGTGGCAGACTCAACCAGGGCCACCATTTTGCTCCTTCTCACCCATTCCACAGCAATCACAAACTAACTGGAAAGCAGTGTAATGAGGCAGGGACATGTGCCTTGCTATTCTCAGGTCTTGGCCCCTGTAACTCATTTTTACAGATTGGACCATGCCCAGGGCAGAGAGAAGCTCTGGCCACTGCAGGTGTGAACTGGACAGTAGGCACATCCATTCTCACATTTTGGCATTCAGACTGATGCTTCATTATGGACCCTGGAAGAATTACAACCACCCGAGGCTGTCCCCACACTCCTTTGCTCTTTTATTAGCCATCAACACAAATGCAATGTAAATAATTTGCAGCTGTTGGGAGAAACAATTAAATCTTTTTTCCCCTTAATTAAACCTAGGGGCCTGTTCATTAGAACTGTGTACAGAGCATACGCCAGGAGCTCATCCAGTGTTTCAGATTCATTGTGCCTATCTAAATGGTCTAAATTAGATAGTCTCAGTGGCAGGCAATGAAATCTAAAGTTGCAGTTCTTGGTTTTAGCCCTGACTTAGCCACTTCTGGCTGGTCCTATGTGAATCCGGTGGCCTGAGTTTCAGTTCCCACGACTGTAAAATGCTGATGGTGATGCTACTTGCAGTGTTGTTCTGTCATTCATACATCCTGTGCTAGACACACAGCTGCTGCTTTTTCATTACTCAAACTCACCACCCTGCTTGCTGGGCAGTGACAATGTCAGAAGGAGAGGTGATTTACAGACCAACTTTAAAGTTGATGTTTTTC